CCCAATTTTGTTTTCTGTTGACCAAGGGTTTTTCTAAAGGTCGTAACTGAGTCTTCTATCTGTGGTACCAGAAAGAGAAACTCCAGCAATAAGAATAGCAGCAACCAACCGCTCTCCAGCCCAGAAGATATATAATACTGACATAAGCACATATAAAACCCCATCTCCAAACAAAAAAACCAACCAAACAAACAAAAAAAACCCCAGTAGTGTAATCTCCACATCAGGCATAGCCTGAATCATTATCTCCGAATAAGAGCATACAGAATAATCTCAGTACAGGTAAGTTAAAAACTTGTATGTAAATATTTTATTCTCTCATATTTTGCAAATCAGAAAGCAGTGTTTGGTAATAAAAAAAAATACAGAATTATTATTTTTCTTCCAGTCCACACTCATATATTACCAGGTTTTCCACATTACAAATAAAACCATCTCTTACAGTCTAAAGATAACATTCACTTTAGGCATATTCTGTACTTTTGGCTTATTTAATATTAGTCTTCTGAACTATTTACAAATATATTACAACCTTTAAACCTCAAAGCAAAGGAGTATTTCAATAATCAATCTGACATAAGGATCAGTAGCTCCTACATAACTTCAGTGTTTAAGAGAAACTATACACGCAGTGCGGTAGGTCTGAATAATTTATATCTTTAAAAAAAAAGAAAAGCATTGAAAGTTTCGGAGTATAAAACTTTCGCATTGCAGTGGTACCTACTGACCCGCCTCGACTGGAGGACAGGAATGTGAGGTGATGTCACTGTGTTTGTAGAGAGCCTCGTCTAAGTCCAGTGCCTTGTTGCTCAGCTTGATGGTCATGCAGCCGTGGTAGGACGCAGTGACTGGAGTTGAAGTGACAGGAACGTCTGTGTGAAAGGGGAGACAAACATCTCTGATGGCTGGTTTTGAATAAATACCTGCCTTAACTATGCTCAGATGAGCATCACTTCAATGAATTCCAACTCTCTTCTTCTGGGATTTCTACCTCCCCCCACCCCCACCAGAAGGCAAGGGCACAATCCCAGACGTAGGGAAAACACCAACTGCTCTTGTCCACAAAAGCACTCCTCCCAGGCTGAACCCTTCCTCAGCTGCTCTGTGTCCCTTCAATGCCTCCAGTACTGATGAAACTATGTGCTGCACAGCGGCAAGGCTTGTTCCAGATGCAAACTGCATTCACGCTGCCTTCCATCTCGATGTTTCCTCCCCTCTGTCTCTGGACCTTGTGCTTTGTCTTTAGTGGAGTTGTTATACCTTCCTCTAATGCTCTCCCTCTCTCTCTATCCAAAATATCTGCCAAAAGATTATTGGAAGAACTTCATGACAGGAAGTATATGCAGCCTCTACCGCTTGCTGGACTTATCTTTACCACAATTAGCACAAGGAGGTTGCTGGCATTCATCAGAAAGGTGCTGGAATATATCAATGGAGTTGGTAAGACTAGTGAGACTGATTTTTTCTGTGGACATCCACTGGTGACATACTTTTCATCAATGTACCAGAGGTAGAAAACAAATAGCAAGGAAGAAGACACTAAGTACAATCCAACAGACTAGAGGAAA